TTTTTTTTTTTTTTTTTTTTTTTTTTTGTGAGAACCGTTGGCCCCAACCTGTTTTTTAACCTTTTTCGTAACCTGCATGCATAATTCTGTTTTTGCCCCTTTTGGTTACTTTTGCTCTAGGTGAGTTGGTGGTGTCAGGCAGACCATCAACGGGGGGCAAACATGTGCACTGCAACTGTAGGGAGGGCCGCTGTGTGTCTGATTTTCGATTCAACGGGGGTTTCCCGTTGAAAGGTTCAACGGCCGTTGAAGCCCCGTTACAACGCCGCGCTATACCGCGCCAACCGTAGAAGCCGATAGAGGAGGCGCTCTGAAGTTTGTGTCAGGCAGACAATCGACGGGGGGCAAACATGTGCACGGCAACTGTAGGGAGGGCCGGAGGCACAACTCCGAGTCTTGCCAGTACACGAACGTCACTCCGAATGCACATGTCGGATTGCATGGGTGCCGCCGTCTGATTCCCTAACATCCCTATCGCAGAGGGCGAGAATTGTCTTCCATCGTCGTCCGCTCCCTCTCTGCCGCTCGCCAATGGTGCTCCGTCATGTGTAATACCCCAACTGATGTGGGAGGGGGCGCCATGCAGGCCGTTGTGCCCATGGTGGCGAGCCTGTCGTCTGGAGCAACATGGGTAATTTTGCTGGACTGAAGGCGATGCCCATGGAAATGTGAAGGAACTTAATGTTCAAGTTGACAGCGGCGGCAGTCTGTTCGGCAACGGCGCTTCAGTGCCACATCGTCTGCACCATCGGTTCCCCCACCCGAAGGCGGACGGGTGGTGACCTGTTGGAAGCCTGCTCGAAGGACCCGATGGCTGGACATCCTGTATTAACGCCTTGAAAAGACGGATGCGCCCACGGTGATGGAGAATGGTGACTGCTCAATGCACGGCTATATTCCATACCTGATGGATGCGAGCGGATCGAGCTTGCTTGCCCCTTCTTCTTTGAAGGACACAGGTATAAAATGGAACAGTCGGTCAACTGTTGATGCATAGGGCGACGTGAGCAGACAGGGCGGTGAGACGTGGCAAGGAAGCAGGTGGGCGAGCATGCACGTATTTGTGGCTACGGACGACAGAAGAGCAGGAGGGACGATGCAGGCCAGGCATCGACTGCACAAGTCAGCACGACGCCTTGGAATCGAAAGCACGTGCAAGTTCGGGTGTCGTAGCATCAAGTTTTCTAGGACTGCCTGCCCGGGTGGGACACCCGAGGGTTCCACTTAATTTTTTTTTTCTTTCCCTTTGCGTACTGAAGGCATACATGATATCCATTCACAACAGCCTCGACTTGCCACACAACCCACTGCACCATGGACACTCCGCAAATACAAGATGGACAACAAAAGGAGACCCAAAAAAGAAAACAAAACCTCCATCTTTTTCGCTGCAGGATTGTCGGCTGCTTTGGAAATACCAAGCAGCTCTCCAGGAGGTGATCATGCACACTTCATTTCATTCGTAGCACCATGCCCTGCTCACGTGCAAAGACACGGGATCCCAAAAGACCACTATAACTACTTGACCAAACTTCATGAAAGTACTGTGGGTTCAGAAGCTAACACTGGCCAGAACAAGGGGCTCACCACTAGCCAACGGCCTTTCATGGGTTCAGAAGCTAACACTGGCCAGAACAAGGGGCTCACCACTAGCCAACGGCCAACACTTCCGATGGAACTGGACGATGCAAGGTCCAGGTACATTCAAAATGTTGGGCTTGGGCCCCACTATCGTACTTCGAGGAAATTCCTCCAAGTAACCGAGGCCCCACTGCATTTTCTTCACTGTTTTCACGACAACCGCCGCACCTTCACTTCCGCTGTTTCCAGTTGTTTGTGAAAGAGCGCGTCGGAAGTGCCTCCTGTTCATTAATGGGAAAAGTTATAAATCTCCCCCGTGACAAAGCCTTTGTATTTGTTCGCCCCTATCGCTGTAAAACACTTTCCCGCGGTTCTTGCTCAGCGGGTAACGGGCGTTACCGGCATAGCCAGGGTGCAAAAGTGACATGAAAAGCTAGGCTACCAGCCGGGCCGCCCGGGTCCAAGCCCTGTCTCTTATACACATCTAGATGTGTATAAGAGACAGGTATTGAAAGGTCGGTTCTTGTTCTGGTCTGCAC